TTTAGGGTTGCGACCTGGGGTTATTGATGGTGCCATAAGTATCTCTGCAGTTCAGGTTTGTCAGAGTACACCATCTTCCTCATCTGTTAAGAGTTTGCTCCTCTATCTTTGTTAACTTCTTTCGTTGACCCTAACATTTCTCTTCCCCTCTCCCTCTCTATCCTTCATCCAAACAGGCTAACTTTACTCTTTGAAGATTTTCAGATATATTTCAAATTTCTTTATTTTGCGAAAATGTTGTTAATCTCCTTTTACTTGCCGTCACTTATTCGTTGTCATATCATAAAATAGTTTCAACAAACAAATATTGTCCAGTTGGTAGTTGCTTTCCTTTGTTGGGCATAAATGTTCAAGTATGAGATTCATGGTCTGTAATGGCATGTTAGCAATTACGTATTGCAGTTGCTTGATAGTTCCTAGCTTTGGATTTAATTAGCACTTACATAGTATTGAGGATACCAGACCTTATTAAACATATGATTATGCCTAAAAAGTTAGCTGTAAAGATCCTGATTTCTTCCTTGTGAATTTTCTATTGCCATTGTAGTTAGCACTAATTGGTTAATTGTTTCTTCCATCATATATTCATAACAAATGAAGTAGGATCTGGTTAAGTGGTCTTATTATATTTATGACAACAACAACAACAACGGCCAGTGATCTATACTTTCTTCATAGCGCTAACACTGCCATTTATTTTGTCCTTTCCAGTGGTTGTGTTATGCTCAAACATCTTCTCATGAGCCAAGGTTGAGATTGAAGTATGTAATTCCTATAGAACCTTTCCTTTGTTAATTATCAAATCGTAATGTTTCCGCAGCAGTGCTTAATTTGGAATTCTTGATATGCAGAGCTTTTTTTGGTTCACTATATAGATGCCTAGCTCGGGGGGCAAGAGCAGTGTTGCAGCTGTATGCTGAAAATATGGACCAGAGTGAAATGATCATGACCTATGCTATGCGTGCTGGATTTGCAGGTGGTGTGGTTGTTGACTATCCCCACAGGTAACTGATGCATTTACTCATGTTATGCACATACAATCAACTGCTATCTGAAGATTTTTCTTTTTATTACTTTTCTCTGTTGTTTACCACTGTTACACTGCATGATAGGTAGTGCCGTGCTGGAGAAAGGCTTTCTATTTTGGTGTTTCAGTTCTTGGAACAGAATTTTTCAGCATTGACTTCTCGAATTGTTTATTGTAGTTGTTTGTGGAGCTTAATCCAAGTAAAAAGGATTTTTTTTTTAAGAATGTACTAGTACTCTGGTGCACGCAATGGGTGCATGACATAGTACTTGTGCAAAAAAATGTAGCTAACATCCTAACAATTAATTATAATATAAAATAAAATGTAATGGATAGTCATTATTTAAAAACAAGAATTTGTGCCGAACATAAAATATTGTGTTCCAATTGTTAAAACATAATGAAATATTCAAAACATCTTGCCACCTTGACCTATTTGAACATTCACAAATAGTTATCAAATGCGTAAGTAACTAAGTATTTAGCCTAATCGCATTCAAACAATAACTGAGTGTCCGACTCGAATTCAGATAAAGGCGAAAGTGATCGAGCCCGAATTCAAATACTGTCGATTCTGTCCTTTCCACACCTAAGGGCAATGGCTGATATATTCATAAGGATGATAATATCTGATAATCGTATCATATGATTATAATGGAGAAAAATTTAACACATAAATCATACTTTTTGAATAAATATGTGAGAATTGGGGCTTATGTTGATGGTGAGAACTTGGACAGTCATTTTATGAAACTTTTTGAATAAATATGTGAGAATTGGGGCTTATGTTGATGGTGAGAACTTGGACAGTCATTTTATGAAGTTCATGTGCTTCAACCAATCTTTATGGGGCTTATGTTGATGGTGAGAACTTGGACAGTCATTTTATGAAGTTCATGTGCTTCAACCAATCTTTCTGACGCAATTCATGGTAACTTCAATGTCAATTTGTTGTTTTCCTTCTCCCTGCAACAGTTCTCGTTGTTTCCTTCTCCCTGTTGTTCTCGCTTGGAATTGAACGAAGATGATGCATCGAAAGCAACCCCTTGTTGGTTTTGACGGTTTTGGGATCTTGGTTAAGCATGGGGGAGTTAGGTTTTTGTTGAACGTGATTAACTTGGAAGTAGTTATTTCTTTTTACATTTTCCAATTATGCTTCTTCTATATTTTCTAAAGAATTGAAATTTTTGAGGACATTTGTAAGAATTTTTCGAAATTTGTGATATGCATAGGGGTAGAACCCCAAAAGTTGGCTTTTCTTAAATAATAGTAATAAATGTGTTTATGGGTAGGTCTTACTAAAAGAAGAAATCTTGTCCAAGCCATTGTATTAGCTGTTCATACATATGTGTTTATGGGTAGGTCTTACTAAAAGAAGAAATCTTGTCCAAGCCATTGTATTAGCTGTTCATACAACCCATACCGGCATGACTTCGTAATAATTTATTTCTGTTATGTATTCTTGCCTTTGGATTACAGAGAGGTTTTGTTCTAACCGTGGAAATTCATTCTATGCTTTATAAGAGGCATAGCCTCGTAAAACACATACTGATAGCCGACAAAAAGGTACAGTTTGATACTAGGAACAAATGTCTTAGTAAGTATTAGGTGTCTAGTGGTGCACGATGAGCCAAACAGCTGCTTAAGAAGCTGCCTAAACCCAGCTTAACCAAGGCACCTTGAGGTTTTAGGCTTTTAGCCACGTGAAGGTTGTGTTTCGATTATGGAAGTCCGGATGTATATTCTGTGCTAATTGAAACTTAGTATACTAAACGAGCAGTGCATTTCGATTATGGAAGTCCGGATGTATATTCTGTGCTAATTGAAACTTAGTATACTAAACGAGCAGTGCAAGTAATCTTTGGAAGTCGGTGCTGGCATCATCTCATTTTTTGATGGGGGCTAGGGCATTATACATATCTAATCTGTTGGATAAGAACAATTTATCGGTGTTGGCTGTATGAGCTAAATAGCTGTTATAGAAGACCGATGCCTCAAGTCCTGATTCCAAACTTACAGTTTTTTTTTTCTCAACTTAATGTACAAAATGTTTGATTGAATCAGGGGAAGGATTCATAAATAATGGCAAATGAGGTCATATGGAGTATGGATAGATCCACAACAACAGATGTAAACATCATCACATCTGCTAAAATAACAAGACATTTAGTAAATATGACACGGAAAGGAGCAATAATAGGTTGCAACTTCCATTATCGAAGAGTGGGAGAGTGCTCAAAATTAAAGAGAGGCTATGATTTAATGGATGCCTCATCTGTGTACCCAGCTGTATTACACCTAATGAATTACATGTGTCCACATGTGCCACACTTCTTTTGTTTAGATTGATAGCAGTGAAACAGGAAATAAGAATATGGAGAGAAGAATGAGAGCACGGAAAGAACAAAATCACACACACAAAAATAAAGGCAAGAAGAGGGGTATTGGTAGTTTTTCTACTTGATCTGTAGGTAGGGAGATAATATTAGTCATAGCTGAAGCCTTTGCTTTTATATATCTTGATATGTGATAAGTGCAATTCGCAAATAGCGCGTGAAATTACAAAGTTAATTGTTAATTTGTTTTAGTTGCTCCCATTGCTTCTGCTGCAAATATGCACATACACACACAGAAAAGACAGATGTGATTGTACTTACGTTTGATAAAGTCCAATATGACACAATACTCTGCATGTTGCCAAGCAACATCTGTGTTCTTGTACTTACGTTTGATAAAGTCCAATATGACACAATACTCTGCATGTTGCCAAGCAACATCTGTGTTCTTACTCAAATCATGGAAGAAAGGCTAAAGTGACACAATACTCTGCATGTTGCCAAGCAACATCTGTGTTCTTACTCAAATCATGGAAGAAAGGCTAAAGAAGAACAGCGAAGAAAGAACTGTATTATATTTGCAAGAAAGAGTAGTTATGGCATTTCCTATATAAAGGGTTCACAATTCATGATAACTGTAATGTATATTTGCAAGAAAGAGTAGTTATGGCATTTCCTATATAAAGGGTTCACAATTCATGATAACTGTAATGGATTGACAGATGAAATGGAATGAACTGAATTTCCTATATAAAGGGTTCACAATTCATGATAACTGTAATGGATTGACAGATGAAATGGAATGAACTGGAGGATCTATGTATCCCCGAGAATTGAAATGTGTCAGTGAATCCTTTGATCTAAACTAAAATCCGACATGAAGCCCATATATCTGTCTTAGAGCGCCTTATTTCTGGACAGAAGGATGGGTGCAGAATCATATGGTTCTAATGGTACAATGAAAAGACTCAAAGAAAGACAGAGCTTCTGTAAAAAGTGATTTAAAATGAGTTTTACGGTGATAATAAGAGGAACACCGAGGTGGTTATATATGCAGTAAGTAGACAGAATGGCAAGATAGTCTGGACTGATCTACACCTCAGAGCCTGGGAATTTTGACAAAATATTCATCAGAAAATTTGGTCATAACTTTAGCTGTCAATCTGGTTAGCGTATCCTGTGTCTATGGGGTTCACCTAAACATGCAAGTTCTTTGTAGCTAAATTATCATCTTCTCTCTTCATCTTAGTCAAGGACTATTTGAAAGGTTTTCTTTGTTGCATGAACCTAAACTGCAGCTGCCACCTCTCGTGGCAACCTTTCTTCTTGTCCATGGGCTCCTTCACTGAAAATTTGGAAGCATTATAGAGGGATGACATCATGTATAACCAGTGAAAACTCATGTCAAATGTCTGAAAGCCTTCAGTGAACTAGGGGTGGCAAACGGGTCGACCCGACCCGACCCGACCCATATAAAATTTGACCCGACCCGTATAAGCCATATAAGTGTGACCCGACCCGACCCGTTTAATAAATGGGTCAATGTGATCCGACCCGATTATTAAACGGGTTACCCGACCCGACCCATATAACCCGAATAACCCAGTTATCTAATACAAGACATATACTAACACATATAACTAATAAAAAATTTTATACAAGCACAAAAAAACACTTCTTGCAAGCTCTTTAGACAAAAACTATCACTACTCACAACATGGAGTTATTTCAAAGACATATTCAGTATTTAAATGTACTTCAACAAATTGCAAATATCGACAAACAAAACTACATCATTTGTTCAAGGCCCTGGACGGTCCCAAATCATGTCGCAAGGAAAAATGTCTTCACAAGGACCTGGAAATATTGGTCGAGGGGGTTTCCTACCGCAATAAGCAATGAAGAGCAGTAAAGGAAAACATATGTAGACATTATACAATTATATAGCATGTAGTTATCCTTCTTTTCCGCATTTATTTTAGTTCCCTCTCTTCTTTAACTCTTTACAGTATATTCATGTACTCTTTGTAGTCTGGTGCCAGGAACCCATAAGTCTTCATGAGGCAATCAAATGTGGCCTGCACACAGAAAAAAGCAACAGGATTTTAATAGATTGGTATTAGTCTCAATATTAATACCATAATATCACTTGTGAAAGAACAATTACCATAATTTGAATAGACTCCTGCACAATCATTAGTCACAGCTTATTTCACAACAGTCCAATTCATCACAAAATCCGAACATGCTATCCTTAATTCAACAGTTTCAATACTTTAAACCAGTAAGTTTGGTGTATTGATTCCAGCAGTCATACCAAAGTTCAACTTACATGTATCAGGAAATACCAAAGGATACTGCAAATAAAAACACAGAAACAAACACGAACAGGGAAAATGCCAATGATAGAGCCGTAGATAATAAACTTAGCCATGGTAACCTAATAACATATCTTGTTCAATATTAGCTGTACAACTCTCAGCACAATCAGGTTCTAGTGAAGTAGCATAAAGGAGATATAGTGATATTCATATGCAATCAAATCAAATAACCAAGCATATGACAGGATTAAAAATGTAGATTTTCAAAATCACATATAATGACAAAGCAATTTCACACAAAACCTCTAAGGTGAGGTTTTTTAAGGTAATTTCAAATTAGAGTAAAACCATGACCGTTCACAAAATTAATGTAAACGAAATAAAGAGATAAAAGCATCTCTAGAGATATATAAAATAAAGAGCAAAACCTCTCTTGATGCCCAAGTTAAAACGACATGCATTACAAGTTAAAACAGCTAGTAGGTTCTTACCTTCAGCTACCGCATCATAGTATGAGAGATTCATACTTGTGTTGGCATAGATTCTGCAAAACATTTCAACTACTGCTGACCTGCAGTTTGTATTTGACCAAGTAGGCATATTCACAGAGAAATTAGAAGAAACAAGCTATGAGAGGATACATTATGGAAAGTGAAAAATCTTGTTTCGAGTAGAAGTTTCTGAATCCTATGAGATACAATAACACATGTTTAATTAAATTTTCTAAATATGCCCAAATGATTAACATTTACAGTACTGCAACATGTGATTAACTTTTCTGAATCCCATCAGCTGAATATGATCATCCAATCAATGGTATGCATTTGATTACTTATTAGAGAGAATATATCATAGAAAAGTGCGACATCGAGTAATTGTTGTATCCTAACATGAAGTTCAAAAATAAATCTAAATCCGCTAAATACGAAAATCACTGGGAATGTGATATTACACGATTAATGCAGAGAAAAAAAAGGAAATTCAAAATAGAACTAATCCACCATATGCCAGAAACAATAAAAATATAAATAAATAAATGAATACCTAAGGCTTCAAAGGTCATCATCTTAAATTTGATTGGGAAAAAAAAGGACTAAATAAACGCATCGACAATATCACCTGAAGTTAGATCAAATCAGTAAAAAAAAACCGAAAAAACAAAAATAAAAAATTACCTGAAGTTGATCTGAGAGACAGTGGCGCTCGAGAGGAGAGAGAGGAACTATGGTTCGAGGATCGCTGCCGCTCGCCGATCACTGCCGCTCGCCGATCACTGCCGCTCGCCGTTTGCCGCCGCTCGCTGTCGCTTGCCGCCGCTCGCCGTTAGCCGTTCACCGCTCGAGCTTCGTGATGGGATCTAGGCCGCTCGTCGCTTGAGCTTCTTGAGGATCTAGGGTTTTTCTTTCTTCTGCAGCTTTTCTTTTTTTTCTTTCTCTAGAGCGGCGAGCTTACGAGGGTCGAGGGATTTTTGTTACACGGGTCGGGATTTTTGTTATACGGGTCAATAGGTCAACCCGAATTGACCCATTTAATAAATGGGTAAATTTGGGTTGACCCGTTTATGACCCGACCCATATAATTTAACCCGTACCCATTATAAATGGGTCGGGTCGGGTCGGGTTAATGGGTCGGGTCATAAATTGCCACCCCTACAGTGAACCTATGTCATATGTCTGAAAGCCTTCTGATCCACAGTTGACTTATTTTGTTGAAGAAGTACTAGCTTGGAAGGGGATGCCCTTTTTTCCCTTATTAAGCTCATATTACCTGGTTCATGTATAGCATCTTACATGGATACACAACAGTAGCTAACAATTGCTTTCATTGGGATACCTGGTCTTGAAATTTTTTTATTTTATTTTAGTTTATTTTATTTGTTAAAATAGACAGTGATAACGATTGCTATACATTAGGTACTCGTGTGATTTAATGTTGTTTGCATATTTATGCAAGCTAATGTTTCTCAAACCACGTTCATGTATCAGTACGCGGGCCAGGAAGGCTTATCTTGTTCTCACTTGTGGTCCACCTTCAAAACAAACAACGCTCCCCAAGGGCAAAGGTGAAGATGGAGAGATGTGCAGCGATGACAGTGATGAAAGTGCTGATGACGAAAATCAAACAGTAAGCTGCATGAAACTTTTTCGAGAACACATTCTTTATACTGTGCAGGTCGTATGATGCATTATTGATTAAAACTGCTTCAAGTGCATTTTGGTTGATGTAATGCAAATATTCTGTTACTTGGTACATTTGCCCAGAACTCTCGATGACAACATAAACCAATGTCATAGTAGCAATGTGCTCAAATAAAGTGCTAGCTGGGGATAGCATGCATAATAAGTGCTCAGAACTTCGGTAAATTATCTAAGTTGAGAATACATGTTAAATTTTGAGAAGTTGATCTGGAAAACTCCTTGCTACCTATCCACATACAAAAGCGATTTGCGATTTAGCTTGCTGCATGAGATCATATGTTGCCTATATAACTTAGAAAGCCCAGGCTGTTAACCATGGTCTATGCCCGCACACATTAGACAACAATTTGGGGAGATGTTATTGAAATGTAGACTTAGATATTATGCAAAGTTTATTTCTGAACTTGATGGATAGATGAGATAACTCCAAAGCATCTTCATTCTTTATATATTTATTGACTATTTTAAATATTGGGTATATGTCATGATTAATGTGGTATAAGTTCTCAAATTTTATCTGCCACTTGCTCGCTTGCATAGTAGTAGGGGGCCTGGCCTCTGATTCTCCACATAACACCTTGTATATATCCTTATGATTTATACAAGGATAAGTACTTTTCCACTGCGGTTCCACTGCGGTTCAAAGGTAGGTTTTTACGTAAAGCTACCTTTTCCACTCGTGCTGCTTAGTTGACTAAGCTATCTCGCAACTCATTTACTGGACATAACAGCTACAGGATCTTCTTTATACTGTGCTTGCAGTACTCATGCATGGTCATTTTAGTTTTAGAGATTTTAACCCCCACTCACGTCTTCTCTTGCTTGCTTTTTTGTGTTAACAAATAGATTCAATCATACAGGGTTTCGTCAAAAACACAAATTGACTGTGTTGGGGGGTTTATACTTGGATGCAGGTTGGTATTTATGAACGAAACAGGCCGAAGAAGAGGTTGAAAGTGACGAAGAAAGGGGGTAGAGGGAAGCAATGGGTACTGAAAAAGAAGGAACAAATGAGGAAGAAGGGCCACACTGTACCTCCTGACACCAAGTACACTAACCGTAAAAGAAAGGCTCGCTTCTGACTGCTGCCGAGCAACGTATTCCTTCCTCAATTCAAGATGATCATTAAGGATGATGAATGCTCCTCTTCTGCGGAATCAACCGCCTTCCGATGGTTTACTTCCAATTTGAATTTTGGTGTGCAGGGTGTAATACAACCAAGAGGTTACTATGAGCGCCTCGTATCAATATGTTTTTTGTTGCGGAGTGGAATTTTTTTCTCCCCCTTTCTTTCGTGAAGTGATTATCTATATTTACATGAGATTGACAAATTTCAAGCCCGTTCATTTGAGCTCTTCTTTTGATTTTGTTCTCTACTTTATTCAGCAGCATTTCCCATCGTACGCGTCTCTCTCTCTCTCTCTCTCTCTCTCTCTCTCTCTCTCACAGAGGTTTTCCTTTTGCTATTCAGCAGCATTTCCCATCGTACGCGTCTCTCTCTCTCTCTCTCTCTCTCTCTCTCTCTCTCTCTCACAGAGGTTTTCCTTTTGCTGCGAAGGACTGACAAGGCCTTCCTCACCATATTTGGGGCAAGGGCAGCAAGCTCCCACCGCCTGCTCTCAAGGCGTATTTGACGGTGGGAGCTCACAACCTACCTCTCAACGCCCACAGCAAGCTCCCAGCGGGTCTCGGAAGTCTTGCATGGTTGATTTTTTTTATGATGGGACCTACATCCGCTCTCAAGCGTTCCACAACTTTGTAGAGCGCTTGGGAGCTCCGAACGTGTATTTTAATTTTTTTTCCCCCAAAAAACCTCCTATGAATGATGCCAATTTAACTGCCAAAAAATTCAATTTGAAATAGCCATTGGTGAAGGTTCACAGCCGTTGAATAGAGCCTGTTGGCAAAAAATTCAATAAAAATGAACAGTTAAAAAAATCCTATAAATTCTCAATTCGCTACACAAAATAATTCCACAAAACTCTCTCATTAAAAAAACTCTATAATTTCCTATTAAATTACAAATCTCATGGATCCCTCCTAAAAATTCTACTCGCAACTCCTCATTGGTGAAGGTTCAGCCTTCTATCCCAAGAAACACCAACCACAAAGAAGAAGAAGGCTTACACGCGGTCCAAAAATTGGACCGTCCACGAGGATAAGCTTCTCGTGTCTGCTTGGCTGAACACGAGCCAAGACGCCATACAAGGTACGGGGCAACACAAAGATAAGTTTTGGCAAAGAGCTAACGACTACTTTATCCAATACTCCACCGATCCAACGAGACGCACACCAAACCAAATGATGCATCGTTGGTCAACAATACAACTGTCGGTCAACAAATTCTGCGGGTGTGTTTCTCAGATTGAAGGAAGATAAAAATCTGGTACGGGAATTATTGACCAGGTAAATATTTAACTTCTATGCTTTTATGTAAATGCCATAGCATCATATTTTTAATTATTAAAAATTTAACGATTGTGTAGACTGCAGAAGTAAAAGAATTATACCAATCTCTTTATGGTAAGTCATTCGTGTTTGAACACTGTTAGGTTGAGTTGCATCATCATCAAAAGTGGATCCAACAGATTGAAACTTACAATAAGATTTGATCTTAGCCGAGAAGAACAACAAACTCTGATTCCTCACCAAACAATTCCTACTTAGCAACCCTCATCGATTTGAACACTGACTCGGATGATGTTATAGCAAGGCCTGAAGGGACGAAAGCGACAAAACTCAAGAGGAAACAAAATATGGAAAGCTTCTAGTCTGCTAAGTCCATCATGGGAGAGGCTTTCGCGTGGATGAAGCAAACCACCAATCAAAAAATGGAAATAAAACAAAAGAAACAAGATGACAATATCATGAAGATGGATCTCTTAACACTCAATTCAGTTCAACGATAATACTTTGAAATGCGTCAGGCAGAGATATTGGAGAAGTGGATGTCTAAGGGTTCTTCCTAATTATCTTGCATTAGTTTATGATTGTACTTGAAGTTGAAAATTTTGGCATTGAATGAAAACAACTACTTTATTAAAAATGAAATTGGCGTAGTATAACAACTCGAACTTCTTTGCTGAAATTACATTAGACATAAAGAAACTTAATCATCGGTGATGGATCCCTTGAGCTGCCACAAATACTCGATCAAATCATTCTTTAGTGATTTGTGTGTTTGAGTGTTCCTGATCCGATAATAATTTTGGATGAACTCAGTTAGAGGCACCGTCCGCACATCAAAAGGTTTAACAACTGGTATCGAATCAGTAAAGTCGAAGTTGTTGTCCAATTGACAATCTCGTTCATCTTCAACGATCATGTTATGCATTATGATGCAAG